GTTGGGGTGTATAGAATGTGGGGTATATGATACGGGGATCTTATTATGATATACCCAAAGCCATATTCTATCTACTTAAGGGGGAATGTAGGCTTCAGGGCCTGGGGTTCCCTTTTGAAACAGGAACAACCTTTGTAAAACAGGACCAAAGAAGTCCTCTTGGGACTTCCATATCACCTGGAGGGAGGGTACGTGGCGGATCAAGGGGACTTAGTAAGTAGGTTAATAATGGGGATACATGGGGTTACTACATGTCTTATCGTACTAAGCCCCCCCCTGACCCTGGAACCCTAAACCCCAAACCCTGAATAATGTTTTCAGTTTTCCGTGTTCTTTTCCATTGCTTCCAATTCCCCCTGACCCTCCAAGCACAGGCTCCAAGAGTTCCAGGCTGCCAGAGGCGTATGCGATGCCATTCTTTCTCGTGCTAAGTTGGGAATTGCGAAATGGATCTTTGTAGCAATCCTGTTCACACGCCATCACAATGCCTGCAATAATCCCTATTGCCTAAACCCTCTGCCCAACTAAGCATGAAAAAGTGTAGTCTACTTGAAGCCGCTTTGCTCATTGTGCCTAGGATTCACCCTAAACCCTAAACAGACGTAAACTCGAGCATCTGGAAGCGCACCAGGCCGTCGGCTTTTTCTTAGGTTGCATGCTGGGCCCTGCAGGTGAGGAGCGCACACCTGCACCAAACCTAGACACAAGCTCTGAAGCCTCAACCTTAGCCTTGCTTAGCTAGGAATCAAGTACTGGATCCTTATGGTATAGTCCTTAGAAAAGCCATTCTCTAGTTGCCATTTTCTTTTCCATTCCTGCATTCCCAACTGACCAAAGGTAAGTAACACCAATCCCAAGCCATGTGAGCCCGAAACCCTGCTATCACCCAACGTGTTACTGTAGACCTTCGCCCAAAACTTGTAGAAACCACTTGATTGAAGAATACACCTGCATGTTTTTGTGGAAATATGTTTTATCTACGTTGGGACGTATTCTTCACTTTCTGCTTAGAGCAACTTGGCAACCCCGATCCCCTGCTTACTGCTGTTACGTTACAGTCTACTGGCTTGCTGTTAGGCTGGCTTACTTCAGTTGCAAAGAAGTCAAATTACTTACTGAATCTCAGTATACCCCCATCATCGCATTTGTAGCTTAAGTTAGGTGGACCCCCCACCCTGCAATAGCGGCACAATGGGAATATGAGAGGACCTTAATAACAAAGTCACCACTATCCCTCCTAGCCACTTCTACTGGGCGGGCGGCCCACCAACAGCTTGAGTTCCTTAACATACCCTAAACCTAAACCCTGAACCCTAAACCCCAAACCCTAAACCCTAATTAACCTAATCTTAATCCCAGACGGTCCAGGAAGCAGATGGCCTTCCAATGGGCAGCCCTCTTGGCCAGGCAGTCACCTGGCTCCTGTTACTATTACTATTACTATTACTATTCTTTTGCTATTACTATTGCTATTGCTATTGCTATTGCTATTGCTGTTACTATGACCATTAATAATATTGCCGTTATTATTATGCTATTACGTATTACTGTTACTATTACTATATTAAGTTCATATTATTATTACTATTATTATACTGCGCAGTCATGCCCTCCTTGAAGGATATATTGGAATACCAAAGGTTTAGGATTCAAGCTTTAGGGCTTTACCCTCCCCAAACCAACAGGGAACCTTATATAGAGCCCCGTTAATGGTCAGGTGTCGTTTATAGGTCTCTTTGTCGTAGTTCCGGTAAGGCGAATCACAACAAAAGCAGTGCAGCGCATCTTGGATGACCCAAAGCCCTGAGACCCCACTCACTAATTTCAGTCCTCCTCGTCCTGCCTTGGTTCTCCAATGCTGGATTCCGATACCTGCAGGTCCCGACTGACAGGTCCCCAAACTTACCTTTGGTTCGCTAGGAATGAACGCATCCTGATAGTAGTCCCTATATAATCCATTGCAGTAGTTGCCATGCTCTTTTCCATTCCCAAACCTTAAACCCTAAGCCCGTTCTAGTGGTTTCCATTTTCTTTTCCATTCCTGCGTTCCCAGCTGGCCAAAGGAAAGCAAACTCAGGCTTCTGCGCCTTTTGCCTTTTCACCCTGAAGCAGCTCAACAGAGCTGATACGAGCACTGCATTTAATTACATCATCATTATCATCATCACGACAGAAGGCTAGCATCAGCAACAACACGTCTGACTAGCAGCAGATTGGGGCAGTGAGCGTGATGAGTGGGGAAAGAAAACAGGAGTTGCGGGAATACGATTGCCCACAAACAATGGATGTAAACATCAAATTTTCCCCTGCCCCCCGCCATCCCCAGTGGTCCTACGGTTCTGCTTTGGAGTGATGAAAAGTATCTCCACCCCTCTTGCGGTCCTGTGGTCTGGGTTTGGGGGTATTTCTGGTGCTGGAAGTGCCCGAAAAACTGCAGACACCAGATGGACACGAAGGTAGTGGCTCTATGGTAGTAAGTATTGGCGCGCACACCACGACATGGGACCTCAACAGATGAAACAGCGCATTCCTCTGCGTTTTGCTAGGCACAGGAATAAGACAAGAACAGCAAGCGCTACCTGACGTTTCCTGACATCTTGCCTCTGAAATTTTTTGATTTCCCAAAACCCTCCCGAACGAATTGCACACCGCTAGCAAATGGAAACAGAAGCATTTCTGCTTCCTAATGACCGAAACACATCAAACGTTCACTGGGGTTTTGTGACAGTTTGCATCAGCAACCCTTCTGTTTTTTGTATGCGGCCTGCACATGCACCATCTCTGTCACTTCTGGCACTCTTGAAAGATTCGGTCTGGCTGCTTGTAAGGCTCACAACGACACCCAACCCAAAACGCAGAGTCTCTGAAAATTCTTTCCAGACTTTGAGGAGCCCACAGTTTCGGGTCAGATCCAGGTCCGGTGGCATCTGTTTTCCTGTGCTGAGAGTCCTGGCAAAACAGTTGTACTAGTCCTCTGCAAAACATGTAGAAGAATCCATGATAGGTTGACGGTTTCGGCTATCAAGGGCTCCTCCAGCCAAATGCTTCTTCCTCCCGAATGCCTGTACGTTCTTAGAGCATGTCTGGCAACTTGCCTGACACGCCGTACAGTTGTTAAGCCCATCAACCGCGACCTTGAAATCCTTGCGCATCGCGTATTCCCAAATACAAGTGCTAGTTCCCTTTTAAGTTCCTACTACAGTAACTATTAAAACAACTGCCTCCTAGGCCAGGGTTTGGGACTACCACTCGAAGCAAAGTGGTTGAGAATGATCTGGACCACCACTGGGCGATGTTATGGGGTAGAGATCTGCGTGTAGCCGCTCCTCTTGACAGGAACATTGAGACATGACGTTTGGCATTGCGGTAGCAATGAGACATGCCTGGCAACAGGGCTACCTCGGAAACCACGAGGATCCTACTGCAGAAATGTTACATAGCCGTAAACCCTAAATCCTGATCTGGCCTGCCATGCCGCAGCATCAGCCTGTGCTTGCTGCCCAGCACTGGCCTGCACAGCATGATGTGGGTTGCGGTCTTGGGGCCTTGGGTTTACGAAGATTGGGGTGGCCTTTGTCCTTTTTGTTGTAATTGTGTTTTCTGGTGGTCTACATGCCAGGATACATTGATGCATGCATATATATATATATACACACATGTATGTGTATACAAAAAACATAAGCACATATGTATGAGCATGTATACAACATATAAATAGGTTTCAGAGGGCGGGATTTGAGGGCTTCGCATAACAAATGTATTCTCAGGGATCCTACAACCTAAACCCTAAACCCTAAACCGTAAGTACAAATTTGAGATTTGAAGTCTCCAGAAAGACGGCAGGCCTAAATGGCGTGCAATCCACATGAGCTAGAGTCTAAACTCCTTAAAGCGGGTTTGATAGGAGATTATATAGGGGAGCATTATAAGTGCTATTAAGGGGGGTACTTGGAGTTTAGACCATGGCTCACATGTACTTGAAGAGTCAGGGTATCCACGTACTGGGTCTCTTTGAGAATAACCCACCTGCTGTTGATAAGCATTATTTACCTCTCGCAAAGTCGTCCCAGCACTCAAAGTATGCCCCTCTTGCCCTGGCAGGGCCTGGGTAGCTTCGCCGGCCAGTGATGCCGAATCAGTTGCCATCGCTGACAGCAGATCCCAATGTTCGGAAACGATCTGTAACTTTTGTCTAAGGGAAACTTGTCCCGGACGGGGAGCTTGTAGTGCTCAAACCCCCAGCTGGTTGGGGTTAAGTTGCAAGCCCCAATATACCAGAACAGTGCTCAAAAAAATGCAAAGGTTACGTACAATGCCTTGTTGGCGAGCCTTCAGGTCAATTTCGTGACAGCATTCGTGGACCACATCAAACCCTCGACTTCGTGGGATCTTCTTCATCATCCCTTGCCCCCTTATCAGACAGCCCCGAGCCGCCGGATATAAAAATTATCTCTCAGAAAGCTCAGTTTCTGGGGAACATGCTTAAAACTTGCTTGTCCTCAGCCACAAGCTCTTTGAAAGAGTGTGCCGACTTGCCTGGTACAGATCAGCTGCTGGCTCCGCAGGTTTCACATGCTTTGGGGTTAGCACTGCAACTGTTGGCTTTGGTCCTTGCCGATGTTGTCACTAGTGGACATTCTGCAAAGCAGTTGTTGAACACGAATGCATAGTTGGGCAAGCCCAGGGGTCGATGTCACTTTTCTCTCTCACCGGATCTGCTTTATGCTTCTGATGTTCGGCAACTAGACAGCATTCCATGAAGTGAAGTCTGTACATGTTGGACAGTGTCTCAGTTTAGGATTTCTCAAGGTGGGATTTGCCTTTGACATACCCGGATATTCGGATGCTTCTTACAATACAATGATCCAGACACAGGGATCCCTAGTTTACGTGATGCTGATACCTACATAACCCTATGTAATATAGCAGTTTCCATTTTCTTTTCCAATATCCCTATATAACCCCTATAACAGTTTTGTTGAATCCCAAGCTTAAGAAGCTTAAGCATGCTTGATGATCCATGACCCTGCCTTTGGCACGGGTTGCCCAGAGTTGCCTATACTGGCCTTCTTCAAAGGAGCAGGCACTTGTGGCAACTGCTGAGGCTTCACTAGTGGAGGCCTGTCACCAGGCGTGTAATAAATTGTTCTGACGTTTGCGCTTTCACACCATGGACAAATCTTCTTTGGATTGCCATGCTCGCATTGCTTGCTGACCCACTGTTCGCCGCAGTTCTTGCACTCGATGATGGGCGCATAGGGTTCCGTGTTCTTGTTATAAACACTTGTCCAATTCACATGAGAGAAGCGCGACTTCATGTAGAGGAGAGCATTTGTTGCCAACCAGACCAACAGCAGCCCGAACCCAATGGAGTCATCGATGATCTCCTAACTTGCGTTTGAAAGTCCTTTTAACTTATCTCTGAATGGGGTCCCTTACAAGACAATAAGGATGTTCAACAGAAGCCAAATCAGTACCCAGGTTCATACTTGCGACTCACGTCTGCCAGTTCTTCCTCAGACTGAAAGAAATAGCCCACCCAAACTGTCTCGAGGCAAATTATCACTTGGAAGCTGCAGGCAAAGATGATGTAGATGTCCGCTGCTGTGAGGTACTGCTTGCCTGACTGCGGCTAAACCGCATATGAGTTTTAAGGTGCCGAGGCTAATTAAGGGCTTGCGGAATTTGAAAACGCCATGGCTCCTGCTACCAATCATACCATTGCTGCTCCGACTATTTCTTGTTCCTCCCCTGCTTGCACTTCTTCCATGCCTATCAGGACTACTACTACCTCATGCATCTGCTTGCTGCAGCTGCTCTCCTCGTGCTCTTACTCCTAGTTCTGCTGCTAGGACTACAGCGACAACAACGACAGCTGCTACGATGCCGATCACTAACGCAAGATGTCCAACAACTCCAAGAGTAGCCAATTCCGCTTGATTGTTGCTATTTCTTGTTTTCAGTGTTTAGGGTTTGGGGGCCAAGTTTAGGGTTTGACACCAACCAGCAGCGAGTTGCGTGGCAGTGAGTCACCAATGACATAACGATACGCCAGCACAGCCAGGAAGCAGGTGCCTTGCCCATCTCTCAAAATAGGTTTATATAGGCTTTAGGGTTTAAGGTCTAAGCTCCTTACAGGGGCGTTACATGGGGGGGTAACGTAAGGGTTGATAAGGGGGATACTAGAAGTTTAGACCATAGCTTACATGCACCCCAAAATTAGATGTCTACAGAAACCCAGAAACTCCCCATTTTGGGGACATACAGCCCAGGCTAGGTTTTTTGGCCGAAGAGTTCGGACTTACAGCATGAGGCTCAGGGTTGAGGGGTTAGGGCTGAGGATTTAGGAGATGTTAGGGGTCCCCTTTAAAAACACTGCAGCAGAAATTTTGGGAAACATCCGTTTTGGTCTGGATCTAGGGGTTGAGAGCACGCGAGGCCATTCTGAAGAAGGGCCTGCAATGCACCCCCGTTCTCCTCTCCATGCGCAACTGCGTCCCTGCCCTGTCTGCTTGGGGCAGCTGCGGGGCTATAAGGAAAACTAGACTCAGTGCAATGTCTCCCCTCCCCAAGACATGAAAGGATTCACGCGCAAAGTGCAACACTAGCTGAGCGTGCTTCAAAATTCACATCTGAGTTAGCTCTGACCAATGCACAAGGCGTCAAAATAAGTACAGAAAAAAAGTGGAACAGAAGGCACGCTAGTGAACCTTGGAATTCCAGCACCAAAAACGGTAATTGGCGCTGAATACTGTGCGTATGAAATGGGCTTCCGGTTTGGGGTTTCGGGATGCTTTTGGGTTTGGAGATAAAGGGTTCAGGGTTCAAGGTGTAAGCATGTTCTTGGCGCACAGACAAAGCTTTTGTCACGTCTGCGAGTTAGGGGATGTAGGTATAAGGGTCAGAGTTCAGTAGAGTTTAGGGTTCAGGGGCTTAGGGGCGCGGGGTATAGGGGTTTACGGGTCTAGAGTTTCAGAGGTCTAGCCCACCCGGGTGCTCTTACGCCGCCATTGTAGCCATGCGGACAAGGTCGTGCATACATCCACTCAGCAATGCCAAGAAGTGCGTGCAACAACTACACAGCAAAAACCATGGGAACCCACCGCAAACCACAACTACGACAACACCACCAACAGCAGTAGCAGCAGCAGTGTCAAAACATGCAGTTGCCTATGGGAGAAGAAATGGTGACAACTTTTTCTTTCGTGCTCCTACATGGTCCATACTTAAACCAATAATGGTCCCACAGAAACCTCGTAGATTTCCTACGTACTTTGTTCAGATTACCGAAGGATTAAGGTTAACAAAATAAAAGAATATTTTCAAACATACCCCTGACTACCATATCCCCTTGAACTGAACCGTACACCCTAAATCTACATCCTACACCCTACACACCGTACAAACTGAAGATCCCTGAAAACTCGACCCAGGTTCTCAAGTGGCCGAGTCGTCCACTTGTATCATCCAGCGGAATGAAAAAAGCACAGAGGCTAATGATGTTCACCAAGAAGACCATCACAAGAACGCTGTGAAAGTAATAGTCACCTCCACATGCCATCCAAGGGACTCAATAAAAACCATTGAAATAAGAATGAGCCATCATTTCCATCTATTCCTGGTTTTTAGATCATGCTGAACAGGAGCTGGGTCTACATGCAGCATGTGAGCCGGCAGAGAAAATGATTGTGGCTATTTGGTTGTCATGGTCACAGCGTCGGCGAGATATGTTTTGGTTCAAGCATTCCAGTGCTTGAGGATTAGAAAATTCGTCAATGCTACGCATCTTGACAAACCAGGGCTGCGCAGAGACTCCCACAGCTCTACGGAGCAGACCATAGAACACTGGAGTGCTCCAACAGCCCAGCTGCTGGAGCGGTCCAGGAGCACTCCAAGACCCCAGAGCACTTCAATGCAAGGGCACTCCACACAGGTGCACGAGTTCAAGCTTAAACATGAAGGTGCTCATGTAAGGGTTCGCCTCTGAGCCAATACGAAATGACACAGCGATTTCAAGCCACCGTGGCTCCATACTGTTTATGGCTTAGGTTTCGCAACCAGCACGCGCATCGAACTGTGGCGGGAAACATTGAGGATGTTGCAGGTGCTGCGCGGCTGCATCGGCCAAATCTATTGACTCCAAACATAAGGAACCCATAGTGCTTGCACGCCGTTATGGTGACACCACATCTCTACACCAAAGACAAGCTATGTTGACAAATTATGTGTTCTGATTGAGGAATGTCTACATCACCTGCATTTAAATCCTCTGCGATCGCTACAACGTACTTGAGCTGCTTATTGCGGGCTGACCAGCACTTGCAAACAAAGCCACAGGGCACCTGCAAACATAAAGCCCAAAGGAGAACACTCTACACCCTGAACCCCGGGCCCGAAATCCCAGTCTGTTGCACCTCGACGTTGGCAATGCAAAAGGATGTTGAAGCAAGAGCGTTGAACCTCGAATGGGAACTCCCTGGCCAGCACAACGTTGCAACATGTCGGGCGGGCGCTTATTGCAAGGACTAGTCAAACACTTGGATGGGAACTCTATGATTTCAACCCGCAATTTTGGCGCTTTGATGTGCCATCCAAAAAGTGCGGTATCTTACATTTTAGCTTACAAGAAAATGGCAGACTCTGCCAGTGCCCACCATTCCCCGCATCGCATGCGCATACTTTCCATCCTCACTGTGAAGAAAGAAGACCGCAACCCGCTGCGTTCTGGGGGAATCCATACTTCGGCTTCCTTAAATAGGGGGAACCCATCCTAGACCCTAAAATACTATGATCCTTATCATAGGAAGGCCAAAAGAATTCCCCATAGGATCAGTAGTCTAAACCCCGAGTATCCCCCTTAATTACCCCTATACTTATAATCCCTATGTAATCCCGTCTAAGGAGTTAGAACCTAAACCCTAAACCCTGTATAACCCCCCTTCAAGGAGTTTAGATTCTGGCTCATGTAATCTTGGGAAAGCCCCACTTGTGCGCGTCCAACACCTCCAACACCCTTTAATCAACTCTTTGAATCAGTGTCTGCTTGGAGAGGGCTTAGGGTTTAGGGTTCAGGGTTAGGGTTCAGGGTTCAAGGTTTAGGCTTTAGGCTTTCGGCTACTTGGAGGTTCAGGGGAACTTAGTAAATAATGGAAAGAAAATGGAAACTACTCTATGATCTAGGATTCAGGGTTTAGGGTGGGTGAAGGTTCAGGGGGACTTAATAAGTAATGGAAACTACCATACTATCTGGGGTTTAGGGTTCAGGTTTTAGGGTTTGGGACCAGGGGTACTTAGTAAGTATACTTAGAGACAAGCCATATAGTAGCCGCCGTTATGCCCGCTACTAACCTACTTAGCACAAGTGATAGGTTTAGAGGGCTGCTTCATTTTCTTGGTACGGCCCATACTCTCTGAGCACTAAACCCTAAGGCCTACACCCCCAAAATCCGGGGCCTACACCCCAAACCAGAAGCCCGAAAGCATAGACCATCATCAGCTGCCGCGATGACTTGTTTGGCTGTGAAACTGACATGGTAATCACTCTACTCCTCGGAGTATGTAGTTGTTTCCTAATCTTGAGAAATTTTGACCCACAGACTATGGAACGAGGAGGTATTTCCATACCCCATGAATCGCAATGTGTCGCTGTTTATGCAGTTACAGAATGACGGAGTGTGGAACAAGAAACCGAACACCCATCCATTCACTATGGATCGGGCATGGAACAGATGTCCGCACGCCTTGTTCCAAGCCCAAACGATTCAGGAAACATCCATATTGGCATGTAGGGATATTCGCTCCCCCAAAACTAGCAGGGAACCCAAAAGAACCGGTTTCAAAAGAAGAGTGATCTGTAAGAGTCCCCTTTTGGAGTTCCACATTTGAAGCACAAAGGCCGCAGTCTGATATACTTGCAATCATATCCACAGTACGACTTACTGGGGATTAGTAGGGAAAGGGGAATAGAGTATATCTGGTTTATGTCAATGCAGGGATTCTATTCCCTCATTCCCTACTCACCACCAGTAAGATGAATGCAACATCAATAAGCTCACCGACTGTCATGCTTAAAAATGTGCCCTCCACAAATCACCAGAAATCATAGCCAGAGCCCAGGTTGTTCGGACCAGAGGGATGGAAACAGCTTGCCGAATTCCTGCCTGTCACAATGCCGCACATAGACTGTGCATTTTTCTTGTATGCTGGTGTCGATGGCCCACATGTCGCATACCCTAGGTTTCAGGTTGCCATGAAAAAAACCATTGTTCCACTATGGGCTATTAGACCCTTAAGGGTACTTTAATCTACCCTTAATAGGGTCCTAATAGGGAATTTTGGAGTTTAATAGCCCATGGTGGTTCGGCCCCACCCAAAATTCGCCGAGGCTATCCAGCCTCAGGGCGCTCAGAACCCTCTAAAAACCCCCTCTACT